AGAGACCTATGGACATTGTGGATTGCTGTGGAACCCTGTGGTTCTTCTCGGACCCCTGCTGTAGCCTGTAGTGCCCTGTGTATCCCTTGGGCCCTGTGTAGCCTACATCTCCCTGTGTAGCCTGTATCGATCTGTGCACTATACAGATCCCTGTGTAGCCTATATCTCCCTGTGGATCCTATAAACACCTATGGACTCTGTGGACACTATAGCGTCCTGCAAACCACACTGAGCCCTGTGGGTTCCTGACCAGCCCCGAGGAGCCCTGTGGGGCTCTGTGCAGTCCTGGGACCTGTGAAGCAATACTGCCTCTCTGTCTCTCTCCTGCTTTCTCCACCTCTGTCAGTCCCCTCCTCTTCCTCCTTCCCGACTCGATGCTGTTCCACTCTCCCCCCCAGCCCTCTGCCCACCCCTGCCACTCCACCCCGGGTCCAGGAAGGGCTCAAACCATCAGGATTCCCACATTCCCAGATTCACGGACATTTTCAGGAGCCCAAGATTTCCTAAGATCATGTTCAGGTTACTCAAAACCCCGCCATATTAGAATGAGCAGTTTAATTAAGCACAATTGTCCAGTAGCAGGCATATATGTCAGGCCGTGCGTAATGCACAAGGTTAAGGTAGGCTGAAGTTGTTCCTCTTCCATTTTGGGCTTGGTGTTGTGTCACAGGTGCCAAACTGCTCATTTTAATGGGGCAGGCTCTTCGGGGCGGTGACTGCTGGGACTTCCCGCCCCCTGTTCAAGTCTGCTCGTCTGTCTGTCTGCTGTCTGCTGTCTGCTGCCCCACCAAGCACACAGGCACACAGCTGCTCAGGCCAGAGGGGTCGACCACTGGGCCTCTGCTGCTGTGGCTTTCAGAGCGGGAGTTTGTGAGATCGATTATCTTCCAGCGTGTTTTGATGGCACGAGTTCGACTCCCTCTGCTGTGCCCTCCGCTCACCTGCTGCGTGGGGTGGCGAGTTTCTGGGGGGTCCGGGGTCGTTCCCTCTCCTGTCCACCACAGCTGTCCACAGGTCTCCAGGCTCACAGCTTTTTTAATTCAGCTTTAAGCCCCTAATTGCTTTCTTTCACTCAATGAATTCTTTCACTGTATTGAACCAGCTTACCCTTCTTGTCCAATTGAGTCCATATACAATCTTCTCACTCCCCATTTCTTAGAATTTCACCAGAAGATCCAGTTTTTGTTTAAACCTTTTCTGATTGTTCGAAACAGAGAATTTCAAGGTGGTTTTCAAGTAAAATGCTCTATCTGAAGAGGAGCGCAGCCTCATCGCAGCTCCTGCGGCTCGGCTCCCAGGGTCACTAACAGTCCAGGTGTGCGCAGGTGAGCCCTCGGCTGGTCAGCCAGCTCTCCATCTTCTCCAGCAGCGCGCTGCTGGCACTGAAGTCCACACTTATCAGAGAGGAGCCAAATCCCACTGCACAGGCGCAATCTCTCCTCGGGCCAGGTCCTGTCTGCTCCTGGGGGCTGGCGCTAGCAGGTGTGCACTGACACGGGCCTACCAGCAGAGGGGGTGGTGCAGCATGCTGCCCCTCTCAGGCCAGGCACTGTGTGCCTCTGTGGTCTTGCACCCTGGCAGCTGAAGCAAACAATGTTCATGTAAAGGGTGGCTCAGGGACTTTTACTTTACTTTGTTTAATGGCAGCTACTTGGAAAGAGGTTTTTCTTCTTGTACCAGTGGCGAGGGGGTCTGTGTGTGTAACGAGCTTGGGGTGGACGAGGTGGGCAGGGGAGGGAGTCCAGGGCGAACTGCAGCAGGACACAACACAGCTGAGCTCCTCAGAGCACGACGTGAGTCTACTCTCATATCACCCCAGGATTATTATTTCCTTGATATTTGTCTTCAAAGCCACTGAAGCCAGAGCCCTGGCCACTTCCCCACACTGCTGACCTCATGCAATTCATTTTCAGCTGACTTATCAAGTTGGATCATTACAACGTGGTCATGTGTTCTGTTCCAGATCATTTTAATGAGATGTGCTCTGGAACACAGTCATACTGCGTTCTGTAATCCAGAGATACAGAACACCTCCACCTGGGAATTTTCTACTGGAATACCTCTCTATGCTCCTGCAAAATATCTGCATGTTCAAATATTTCACAGATTTGCACAAGAATATCTCAGCTGTGCATACCACGATGATCTGTACTGAATATCTGTGTTTTCCCTTCTGGAACACTTCAGTGTCCTACACTGTAATAATCTAAGCTCTCCATACTCAAATACTAGTTTCCTGCCCTGCAACTGCAGTCAGTATTTTCTACTGGAACACCTCACTGTTAATCCTGGAATATCTGAGAGGCATCCCTGAGGAAATACCTGTGTTCCATAGTACGAGAACATCTCAGTGATGATCTGGGGATCGGCGCCAGGCCTCAGTGCTCCTGGACTGACCCGCTGCCTGCAGTTGATCGGCGCCAGGCCTCAGTACTAACGGACCGACCCGCTGCCTGCAGTTGATCAGCACCAGGCCTCAGTGCTCCTGGAGTGATCCGCTGCCTGCAGTGGATCGGCGCCGGGGATCAGTACTGTTGGACCGACCCTGCTGTCTGCAGTGGATCGGCGCCGGGGGTCAGTACTGTTGGACCGACCCTGCTGTCTGCAGTGGATCGGCGCCAGGCCTCAGTACTAACGGACCGACCCGCTGCCTGCAGTTGATCAGCACCAGGGGTCAGTGCTGCAGCTCAGGTAAATTCAATTTCAAAACCGTAGCCCTCATTATCCTTAGATGAGAGATTTAGAAGGAGGAATACAAACAGCTCCCCCAAAACTAATCTGCCTCGAGCGGGCCAGGGAGCTCTCCCAGGCCATAGACCGCAGGAGGAGTGAGGCTGGACAGCTGCAGCTCCCGTGTCAGTGTGTCAGGCTCCCAGTTTGCACGCCGCCAGCAGCAGCTCCAGTCAGCGTGTCAGTCCAGGTGCCACCAGTGGGCTCAGCGTGAGTAAATGGATGAGCTCCAGTGGGCCAGCAGAGCGTCAGTGCCAGTTCCTCTGTCCCCGGATGGGCGCGGTCCGCGCGGCCCAACCTCTCTGCGCTCTCTGCAGCCCGGCGCTGCCTCGCCAGCGGTGCCGTGTCCCGGGACAGGCCGGCTAGATCTCCGTCGACTCGATCCGCTCGAGACGGGACGGCCCGCCCCAGGGCGGGGTGAGCTGGGGCGGGGAGGGCTTCTTGTCCTCGGGGGGGGGCGGGGGGGGCAGCGGGAGGCTGGTGGGCGGGGAGGGGAGGCTGATCTTGGAGCTGAGCTGGCCCACCTGCTGCTCCAGGGCCTGGTTCTTCTGGTACATCTCCACGTAGTTGAGCTGCAGCTGGGCCTGGTACTTGAGCACGCGCTCCTTCTCGCCCTGCCAGGTGTGCCGCTCCTTGGCGAAGCTGAGCGCCTGCCTCTCCCTCTGCTGCCTCTCCAGCCTCAGCTCGCCCTGCAGCCTCTCCAGCTGCCGCCGCAGCCCCCCCGCCTCGGCCTGCCGCTGCGCCTTCGCCTCGTCGCTCTGCAGGCTCAGCAGGGCGTCCGCCTGGGGGGGCGGCGGCCCGTCCGGGGGGCTCTGAGGGGAGGGCACAGCCGCCCGCCCGGCCCCCCCCAGCTCCACCAGCGCTTGCTTCAGTCCCAGCACCTCTGCTTCGAACACGCCCAGCTTGTCCCGCAGCAGAGAGACCTGTGGGGGCGAGGGAGCGCGGGTCAGTGCCGAACAGCCCCTCACACACACCCCAGGGCGCCACACGGGACAAACAGACTCCAGAGTCAGCTTTGATTGAGATGGAAGAGATGGGGGGAGTAAAGCTGGCAGCAGAAAAGAGCTCTCAGCGCTGGACCGAACCTGGAGAACCCAGGAGCTCGGAGTCCGTTTGGGTCGGACCGCACAGAAAACACCTGAGAGACACAGCATGAGGGGCAGGAGACAGATCACCTGGGTCAGCTGAGTCCATGGTGTCAATGTTGTAGAATGAATTAGGACCGTGTGTGTGAAGAAGGTGGTGCTCATGGGGGATTTTAGTTTTCCTCACACGGATTGGGAAGACCTTTCAGGGATGTGAGCAGCTAAAGTCCTCACTCTGTCTTGACCTCTCTCGTCTATTTAAACAGACAACTCAGGGTGAGGAACACAGGCAAGAGAACCTCTAGGGAACTGTGATCAGGATATGATATTGCTTTCAAGTGCACTTTGTACTGCACAGCTGGAGACCTGCACTTCCAGGGGCGCAGACTGCACAGGAGTGAGACAGAGCTCAGGAGACGCAGGCAAGGACAGGTTGGGGATGGAGACAGCAGGGCATGGAGAGGGACGGGGTCGACAGAGTCTGCGTGAAGCTCATTCCAATAGTAAATCAGAGACAGAAAGAACAAAGAAACGTTATTTACAGACCATTAGCAAAGCTGTTCCATCAGTCATTGAAGACATATAATGTCATCTGACTGAAAGAATAGCTAATATACTGCCCATCCTTATAAAGAGAAACTAATCTGAACTAACTGATTATACAGTAAGCCTTACTTATACTTAAGTAAGTCTTACTTATACCACATGTAAAGTTATGGTAACCATAAAAGATCATTTGTATAAGAATGAAATCCTGGGAGATTGTGTGGATTTAAATAAGATAGATTTTGTTTACATCATTTGTTAAAAAATCTTTGAACAAGCTACATTGTGCATGTACTGTATCTTACTACACTGAGTAAAAAAGATCCACAGGGGGCTGTGCTCGGACCAATGCTCTTCTTAATTATATCAGCGATATAATTAGTGGAGTACCACAGGTGGCTGTACTGGGACCACCTCTATACTCTATGTTTTTATCATTTGGAATCGCCAGCGGTGTCCGTACGTCTCGACTCACAGGGATGACCCCTGTCCGGCACGAGGAATGAGAACAGGCAGGCAGGCTCCTCCACCACGTCACGGCTCTCTCATCCCGCTGCCGGCTCCTGGGAGATCACAAGGGTCCCTGTTTCACAGAGAAAGCCCGCATGCTTGTTTCGAACAAGCATCCCTGCCAGTGACATCGCACACTGTGAGTACACAGCCCCCACAGAGGAGGTCAAAGGGCTCTCTACTTGATGGATGGGGGCTGCTGCAGCAGGAGGCGTGCAGGGCTCTCCTCCGCCGAGCCAGCGTGACCGGAGACTCACACAGAGGTGGTACAGGGAGCGCCGGAGAGGCTCTTGCCGCCCGTGTCCCGCTGTGTTACTCCGACCCGTTCAGCTCACCTCGGCCAGCGTCCTCTGCAGCTCCCCCTCGCAGCGCTCCAGCGCCAGGCTCTTGCTGCTGTAGGAGTCCTTGAGCCCCAGCACCGCCTCCTCGCGCTCCCGCAGCTGCCCGCTCAGCTCCCTGAGCTGCGCCCGCAGCGCCACCATCTCGCCCGCGCGCTGCGCCACCTCCGCCTGCGACTCACGCAGCTGCTGCTTCAGCAGGGAGATCTCCCCGGCCTTCTGGCACACCTGGGGCGGGGAGGGGAGACAGGTGAGCCCCCGGCAGAACGCGGGCAAGGCCACACACAGAGATCACACCAGCCCCCCTCCCCCGGTCTCTTCCGCTACAGCGCCTCCTGCTGGTGGCTGCCGTGTGGAAGAATCGGCCCACAGAGCTCTGTCCAACAGAGCCTGTCGAGCCACAGTCAGCTGGAACAGAATGGGGCAGATGAACACTAACTGTGTCAAAACCAGAGCAGTGGTGTTCTGGGGGACAGTGGAGGCCCAGACCCACACAATCCAGTTCACCCCGAGCACAGACGGCGCCAGGGAGCTTTAACTTGGCCACAAGCCGGCTGAAAGAAAGGACACACAGGGAATTCCATCCCATTATGGGACCACCTAAAATCTCCTAAAAGTTCTAGTTTAAATGTCAGCATTGTCATTTAAGGTATCATCCTGTATGCGGGTGAAAGGTTTGACTCCAATAAATGGGACAGTTGCCCAGCAAAACCAGTTCATTAAGAATTCTGCAAATACTTTGATCTGCCTAGCTTTTCACAGCACAGCACCACTGGGCCAGTTTCATCACCTGAATTGGGCCGCAGCTCACCGAAGAGCAGAGAGCAGCAGTGTCAAACAGCAGGGTTTCCTCACTCCTGCTGCCACACAGCGCCCCGATGCCACTAGTACCCCCCTCACCTCCTACTGGGTCTGTCCTGATCCTCCCCCCTCACCTCCCACTGGGTCTGTCCTGATCCTCCCCCCTCACCTCCCACTGGGTCTGTCCTGATCCTCCCCCCTCACCTCCTACTGGGTCTGTCCTGATCCTCCCCCCTCACCTCCCACTTGGTCTGTCCTGATCTCCCCCCCCCACCTCCCACTTGGTTTGTCCTGATCTCCCCCCCTCACCTCCCACTTGGTCTGTCCTGATCTCCCCCCCTCACCTCCCACTTGGTCTCCTCCAGGCGAGGCAGGATGTCAGCCTGCTCCTTCTTGTAGTCCAGGCACTTCCTCTCCAGCTCCTCCCTCTGGGCCAGCAGGGCCGCCAGCTCCTCCTGCAGCCTGCGCTTGTCCTGCTGCAGCCGGCTGATCTGCAGCTGCAGGGTCTGCTGGGTGCGCTGCGCCTTGCGCGACACCTGCTGCAGCTTGTTGGCGTAGTTCTGCCGCAGCTCCTCCATCTCGCGCTCCCACACGCGCTGCTTCTCCTCGAACACCTGCACGATGGCGGCCTCGCTCTGGTCCAGGTTGCGGCGCATGTGCAGCACCTGCAGAGCAGCAGGGGGCGTGATGACAGGGAGCAGGAGGGCGCCGGAGCCCTTCCAGTCATGCCCTGATGTCATGCTCCCAGTTACTATGTTCAACTGGAGCTGTAGCTCAGCTGTAGCTGTAGCCCAATAAGAGCCCTCCTCCTGATCCTCTCTGTCCAATAAGAGCTCTCCCTCAATCCCCTCTGTCCAATAAGAGCCATTCCCCAATCCCCTCTGTCCAATAAGAACCCTCCCTCAATAATCTCTGTCCAATAAGAGCCCTCCTCCTGATCCTCTCTGTCCAATTAGAGCCCTTCCCCAATCCCCTCTGTCCAATAAGAGCCCTCCCTCAATCCCCCCTGTCCAATAAGAGCCCTCCCTCAATCCCCTCTGTCCAATAAGAGCCCTCCCTCAATCCCCTCTGTCCACCCTCCCTCCCCAGTCTCTCACCTCCTGCTCCTTCTCCCAGAGGCGGTCCTCCAGGTCTTGGATGATGTCGTCGGAGGAGGGGGAGGGGCGCAGGGGCGGGGCGTCGCTCAGGTGGCTGAGCCGCTGGCAGGAGGAGGAGCTCTTGCCGGAGGAGGAGCGGCCGCTGTCGGAGGCGCTCAGCCCGTTCTGGCAGCCCGGCTTGTCGTAGGCGCCGGCGGTGCCCAGCCGGTTGATGTGGCTGGTGGAGGCGCTGAGCGGCCCCAGGGGGTGGGGGGGGCCGTAGACGCTGCCTGAGCCCGTGTAGGTCGGCAGGCTGGTC